CATCAAATTTGCACATTCATCTGTTTATAGTCGAGATGTTAGCTCATCTAAGTATATATATATATAGAATTACAGACGCCATTATGCACAACTATACATAAAAGAAATCATCACCACGACGGTAAATTAATGGAGCCCCGTGACAACGTACATGGGTGCAGTGTACGGGAAATAACTGACAAACGGAGGTCCAGTGATATATATAGAGGAAAAAAAGAGTGAGCTACTCGAAAAAATCAAACGAAATTCCCAAAATTATTATTTCCATTTTCAAAGACCTAGTAGTTTGAGTATAATGGGGAAAAGTATAAATCAATGTGCTAATATGTGATAAAAAGGAGGCCGATATTTTTTTTGTCTTTCAAGCATTAGGACATGGGATACATGAATATAAAATCTAAAAAGCCTAAAAAACACGCAAAAAATTATCCATACTATAACAACCGCGTGTTGTTTTAAAGAGAAAACAAACACAATCGATCTCTATCATAATATTAGTTTTTGCCCTTTCTCATTTACTCCACTGTTTAGATTTACATTAAAGAGAAGAACCCTGTTTGTATAAACAGGGAAACACAAACCATAACAGGTGAAATAACGAAGATGAATATTTAGTCATATATAGCATCTGTTCTTTTCCCCCTCCCCTGGATTAGATCCAGTAATGCTTTGGGCGCTAAAAATTATTCTACCATCCTCTTTTCTTCTACTTATTACGTTTAGTGCAATCTACAGAAGACCGCATTAAGAGGGAAGATAAACTTCCTCTACTTTCGTGTTTTCTGGAATTGCATATAAATGAACATACGTATTTTAATCCCAATTGATTACAGGTTCATCCTCCAGTTGTTTCGCTTCCTTTTTTTTTCCTTCCGTGGACGAAACCCCCATTTATAGTGATTATCAGTAAAGAGAATAGAGGGAAATTTGACCTTGGAGGGGGAGGGAGAAGGAGTAGAGAAAAACTTGAGATTGAAAATATTAAAAAAAAATTATCATGAATGTCCCTTTTGTCTTACCTTTTCTAACCCATATACTTCCTGAGTATCTTTTATCACACATAAAAATATATATATATAGAATTATGTTAATCTGCTTTTAAAAACCAAAGTAATATACCTGCTTTAATTATTC